GGGGGGGGGGGTGGGGTGGGGGGGACAGTACTGCGGGAGCTTGTCCGCCCGGAAACCCGGCCGCAGGTGGAGGGTTCCGCGAATTCCGAGACTACCTGTTGCCTGGACAACGCTGCCCACTTTTCCAAGGGAGAGAACTCGGAGCACCTGGCCAGAGCCTTCCTCTGTCCTTGGCTTCATCGGCTCACTGAGCGTCGCCTGCCCTCCTTAACCCAGGATGGCGTTTAAGGTCTCTCCCGTCTCTTTAGGTAGCGCCACAGCCTCTAGAATCTGCCCCAGGAGTGCAGGGCACCCTTCAGAACGGCTCCAGTTCGAGAACTGGGCCTTTTATAACTCGCTTATAAAGAAATCATTCTGGTGATGTTAAATATGAATCAGGAAGGGCTTTACGGACGCGTGTTAAGCACTTCATCTCCTTCGAAATGCTCAGTTGCCATGAGTTCAGGGTTAGATTGCCTGAAGGATGGTTCTGGAACTCTTTTTGGAGGTATTGTGCACTTCATAGACAAAGGAACTTAATGACATCTGAGTACTGGGGAGCTCTGTAGTTACCAATGAAAACAATGCTTCACTCAAAACCTACAAGATGACCACTAATACTTAGTCCTTACTAATGTGTTGGCCTTTATCTTGTTTAATCTTAACAATAGCCAGGGGCTGTTACCACTGTTTGCGGGATAGAGTGGGGTGGAGTCTGACCTGGGCCCAACCCTCAGCAATCAAGATAAATCTCCCCACTACCTCTCTGAGACCTTTCCTTGGGGAGAAGAAAAGCATATTCTTTAAACACAGTTCTACCTACTTTTATTTTTGAAAGCTAAGTCCACGGTAACCGTTTTTCCTCTTTCCTCAGAGCTGTCGTGGATGCTCGCCTCGCTTGACCTTTGGAGACTTGGTTCCTTTTTAATGGCCGCAGGAGCTGTTGGGTGAGCAACTGGAGACTGGAGAGACTTCTTTTTGGTAGGAGAGGGTTGCTTTTGCCAGGCATCATCTCCTGGATTGGTGGGAAGAGTTTTTCCTTCCTGACCCCTACACGGTTGAAGGGAGAAGATGCCACTACCGTTTGGACTAAAATTGAAACGCACCCGGCGCTACACAGTGTCCAGCAAGAGCTGCCTGGTAGCTCGGATCCAGCTGCTCAATAATGAGTTTGTGGAGTTCACTCTGTCTGTGGAGAGCACTGGCCAGGAGAGCCTGGAAGCTGTGGCCCAAAGACTGGAGTTAAGGGAGGTAAGCTGTAAATGCTGCAGGTTTCTCTGACTTGGCTTCATTCCTTACTTCATGGTGGCTGTGCGTCCTAGTCCATTGGACACTGGAAGCATGTCCTGTAATGTCAAGGTTGTGAGCCTCCAAGCTCTCTTCCCTACGAGGAAGGAAGGGATCAGAGCAAAAAGTCTTTCCCAATGGGAGTGCTCCCAAGAAAATTTACAGTGCTTGTCTTCTGAACCAGTTTGTTCCCTCCCCCACAAAGGCCCAGGAGAATCGAATATGCATGCATTTTGGGTTATCCAGGGTCCCCCTTTTTATTATTAGATTGACCTGGGTCATTCTAATCAGTTTTCTGTCTTTATGTATTCATTCGTTTGTTCAACATTCATTTACTATTTTCCATAGACCAAGTGGAGATCCTAGAGGCATATTGCCCAAAGTTTGAATTCTGGTTTCCTCACCAACTAGTTCTATAACCTTAGGCAAGTTACTTGGTATCTCTGAGCCCCAGTTCCTCCATCTGAACTATCAGGATAACACTGGCGCCTCATTCTCTGAGTGGTTGTGTGTGTAAAACCATGAGTGCTAATAGCTAGTCTGTTATAGTAATCACAGGAGGTTGTGCTCTGGGAAACCTCTAATAAAGTGAGTGTACACTGTAGAATCCTCATACATCTGCAGAATGTCTTAAATTAAAATGTTCTGTAAGGCCTGTAAAAGAAAGGACTCTAATTAAACCATGGACTCTCCTGATGTTTGGCTGCCTAGGTTTAGGGTAAGAAAAAAAAAAACAGGTTATTCCACTTAAATGACCCATGTTATAGCCCAACTGGAAATCCCACGTAAATATTGTAGTTAGATAAACTCGGATCCAGGAAAAATTAGTTGACCATTTTATTTTGAAGCCCTGTTAGTGCCAAGTACACCAGTACTAGGCACTTACTCTAGTGTTGATACCAGTAAGAACACAGGTGTGCTGGCTTCCTCTAATATGGTAGGGAGGGGCCGTGAAGGTAAAGCTTCCTAGGGCTAGTGATGTATTGAGACCTGAAGGGTAGGGCAGCTGGGGCTGCAAACTTCTATCCCAGCCAAAGGAACAAAGGCTTTTTTTTATTTTTATTTTTTGTTTAAAGATTTAGCCTTATCCGGAAAGTAATGGAGGAGATAGTGAAGGATTTTCAAACAAAGGTGTATTTTTGTATAACTGAGCCTTCTGGAGAATGATTAGAACGTAGTGTTGGTGCTGATGGTGCATTTGCCTGGGGAAATCTAGAGAACTTGGCTGAGGCTGGAGATATTTAGGACCACTCAGCCAACTGTTGGGAGAGAGCCCAGACTCCAGGTTGATAGGTTATCAGTAGATGCTGGGATTATAATTGGGAGAGCAGATCTAAAAAGAGCTGGGTTCAGTTTGGGAAATAAATACCAAGTTTGAGGTGCCAGTTAGTACAATCTGGTGTCAACTGGAGACCTTGGATAGGTGGATAGGCCTGTCAGATCTCTCAGGTGAGAGATCCAGGCTGAAGGAAAGAGGCCTGGAAATTCTCAGCTGATTTGATCAAAGCCAGGAGGGGGGTGAAGCTGCCTACTGGAGAAAGGGAGGGAGGCAGCAGACCCTCCTTGACGAACAGAGGAGGGGATAGCCTTGGAAGGAAATTGATGGATCAGTACCAGGAGGAAAAAAGGAGTAAACTGGGAGAGTGTCCTCAATGCTTGCCCTGCCTATCTTTAATTATCTTTCTTCCTTTGCCCATCTCTCCCCCTGCCCCCTTTTGCTTCCATTTTTTCCTGTACATCTCACTCAAACTCACCAGGTCTGCCTAGAAAAGTCATCTTAGGACTGCTCTGTATTTTTGTACCCAGTGCATGAAATGTGACCAATAAATTCAGGTTGAACTAAGCTTACTGGCATTGCTTTTCTTCCATTAGTCAAGATGTCCAAGGAGATTTCCATCTTGTGTTAGAAGCTCCGTCTTAGGAATTAAGCAGCTTGATACAGCTGTGGACATACGTCGAGCCCAAGTTTTGTTTTCTTTGGTTATTTTTTTTTGAGACAGGGTCTGAAAAGCCTAGGCAGTCTTCAAACTTACTTGACCTCCTGATTCTCCTGCCTCCACCTCCCAAGTACCAAAATTATCGGAGTGTGCCACCAGACTTGGTCTCCAATTTTTTTTTAAAAAAGTATTTTATTATTTTATATGTATGAGTGTATTGCCTGCATGTGTGTAAGTGCACCGTGTTGTGCAGTGCTCTTGGAGGTCAGAAGAAGGTGTTGAATTCCCCCAGAACTGAAGTTACAGATGGTTGTTAGCCACCATATGGGTGCTGGGAATTGAACCTGGGTCCTCTGCAAGAGCACTCGGTGCTCTTAACTGCTGAGCCATCTCTCCAGCCCCCTGAGACCAATTTTTAATAGAAAAGCAGAGTGCTTTTTGAGAACAAGCGTGGTTCTTAGAGCATGCCTTGTCCTTGAAAAGGTAATCTTACCATTTCAACATTTAACCATAGTCATGGTTAGAAAGTTGAGTAAACCTTTCCTTTGAAAACTTTAGAAGCTGTTTGGTAGTATGTAAACAGATGGCTAAGCACTGGGCCTAGCCTTACCAAATGACTGTTCAGAAATAATCTGAGTGGGGTGACACCTGTTCCAATCTTGTGTACATACAGCATATGTGTGATTCAATCAGGAAATATCAGTATTCCTCACTCTGCTCCTACCAGGCTAATCTGGAGGGACCATTGCTTGTAGACCTGGATGCAAAGCTTTGCTGCTGCCAAATATAAATTGCAGGAAAAAGTCTTTACTCTTTTTTGTTTACTTGAATAGCATTTCACTTCTGTAATGCAATGATAAGGACCTCACAATAATGCTATATTGTGCTAGAGTCATTGACTAAAGCTGTTATTAGTATTTAAAAATTTCAACTTGATGGATGTGGTGGTGCATGCCTTTAATCCCAGCACTCGGGAGGCAGAGGCAGGTAGATCTCTGTGAGTTCAAGGCTAGCCTGGTCTACATAGTGAGTTCCAGGTCACCTGGGGCTACAGGGAGACCCTGTCTCAAATTTTTTTTCAACTTTTTTCAATTCTTATTTTTAATTGTATGCATATGTGGCTGTCTGTGTTTGTGGGTATGTGCATGTGAATACCGAAGCCAGAGATGTCAGATCCCACAGGAGCTGGAGTTACAGGTGGTTGTGAACTGCTGGGAATTGAACTTGAAAGAGCAGTATGTGCTCTTAATACTTAGCATCTCTTCAGTTCCTGTCAGTAATGTTTTACTTAAGCTGAGTAAACAGGCACATGTTGTGTTGTCATTCCCCCTGCCTTGATATGTTTATAAATGTATGAGATATTTATAGTAAATTAAGAAATTAAAAACAAAAGGTTAATAAATATTCAATTTAGATTTTTTTCTTTCTTCAAGACATGGTCACTAGCCCAGGCTGGTCTTGAATTCCCTATGTAGTTCCATATCACAGTATAAATTCCTGGACTCGTCCAGGTTTTGCATACTCTGATGGGACTGGGTAATCTGGGTCTTCCTCCCCTGACACTGGTATTTAAGCCTGACCACTGGAGGATGAACTAAATTTCTGATCCTCCTGTGTCCTCTTCCTGAGTGTTGGGCCCAGTAGGTGTGCACCACCACAGCTAGGACCAAAGGAACAAAGGCTTTTTTTCTTAAAAGATTTGGGCTTATTCTGATAATAATAGAGACAAGAGTGAAAGGGATCAAACTGGGGATTAAATGTAGGGCCTGTGCATTGCTATGCAAGTACTTTACCAATTGAGCTATGTCCCTAGCCCCCAATTTAGATTTTTAGTTCATTTCTAAATTCACTGTATTTGAACTACAACTCTCCCCCCCAACAAAACCCCAAAAGAAAACAAGAAAATGTTTAAAATGGGAGAACAAATGACTCCTTCGAAAGGGCTGCTGTTCATTAAAGTGAACTCTCATTCATTCTGAGTTTCACAACATTTTTTTCAAGAGAGATTGTGGGAATTTAAGGGGATTTAGAAGGCTTTCTCTTTACCTGGCATGGTGGAACCTCCTAGTACTCAGGAGGCTAAAGCAAGAGGGTCTCTAGTTCAAGTTTGATGCCAGACTGGGCTACATAGGAGACCCTGTTTCAAAAATAAAACAAATGGGCCTGAGAGATGGCTCAGTGGTTAAGAGCATTGGCTGTTCTTGTAGAGGACCCAGGTTCTGTTCCCAGAGCCCACAAGGTAGCTAACAACCATTCATAACTTTAGTTCCAGGGGCTCTGATGCCCCCTTTTGTCATCCTTAGGCTCTTCACGATATAGGTAAACTTACATAGGTGCACTTAATGATAGATGAATTGGGTCAATCGGGAGAAAGCACCAGGACACAGAGAAAACTCCAGTGAGATAGTTTATTAGCAGAGGAAAAGCACATGGGACAATTCTCTTTGAGATAGGGAAGTTGTCAGTCTACAGGTTGTGGGCTAGGGGTCTTTATAGGGGAACTTCGGGGGATGCAGAAGGTGGGAACATTTTTTTTTTTTTTTAAAGCTGGAGAGAGGGAGCCCAGGGCTTATCAGAACAGCTTCTGTTAAAACCACCTCCTTCCATCCCCTTCCATCAGCCAGGATCTGGGTTATGGAGTCTGTACACTGTAAAACTTATTGGGGGAAGTAGCTTGTACCAAGATAGTTCCTACATTAGTGGATCTGGAGTGCAGGAGTCTGTTCTGCTTCCAAGATCAGCAAAGGGGAAGCAGGCTGTCTTTGACCAAAAGGTGCAGAGAGTCTGCTTATCTTGTCTTCAAAGACCAGGGTGCTCATTAACTCGGTTCCTGCATTCTCAGGGGCTTACAAAATCACGAGTCCCTGTTGGGAAGGGGGCTGCTGCAGATCTGAACTCTAACACTTAATACACATAAAATAAAATAAAGATTAAAAAAATTAAACAACACAACAAATCCAAACAGTCAAAACCAAAAGTAAGTTGACGTTGTAGTCTTCAAAAGGAGGTAACAAAAGGTGTCAGCTG